CAGCGCAACGTTGTCAAGACGGCAAAATCTACTAAATTTTCCAATTAAGAACTATTATTTTAATACTGTTGGTCCATTTTAGAGACACGTATGTGCTATTCATGTTAGTGCATCGCCAAATACTTCTTCTTACTCTTCACCTTCTTCTTATTTTTCTTCTTCCCTTTCCTTCCTCTTCCACTTCCTCTTCCTATCCCTCTTCCTCCTGATTTTCATATTTTTCTGCGACTTTTTCCTATCCTCCCTGTTAGCACGAAAATATTTTTAAAATATTTAGAAAATATCATTGCAATATTTTTTGACATTATTTTTAAAATGTTTTAAAAATATGTTCATGTTCCCTCCATGATAATATTCTCAAAATATTTTACCGAAATGTTTTAAAGATATTTTCACCGGAATATTTTCAAAATATTTTACCGGCTTGTTTACCTATCTGTATACCATGCGCCCTCTATCAACGATCAACGGCACTACTTACTTCTGCACACTCAGCGCCCTCTGTTAAGTAGATGTGGATGCACAGGCAAAGACCGTCATTTTCACTTTCTGCACATGTATTAAATTTGAAATTTGAAATACACAAGTATTGAATATCAGTGACCACTTACTGGAGATTATTAGTAGCGTAGAATATCCGGATGCCCTCGTGTGGACTTGAATCCGAGCTAAGGGTGTGACAGGCCAGCACTCTGGCACTGATGATGCATCGGGTTATAGCACGCGTTGCGTCAGTGCACGGCCTGGTTTTCATTAGAGTCCCTTTATACCCAGAGTTAAAACAACTCGATTATCAGCTGACTGGCAGCCGGCCTTGGCTGGCCATGGAGGCCGAAACGAGTGCACCCAAACGAACGATATTGAGGGATAAGGATCAGGAATCCTGCGATGTCTGTCACACAAAAACAACAACATCGACAAATTGATCAATTAAAAAGAAAATGAGATTGGTTTGTGAATAATTTCTTATTCTATTTTCATTTTGGACTGATGGAAATAACAATTTACTCTTGATAAACCACAATTAGGTAATATTTTCATTATTCTTGTTCACATTCGAGGTACCGCCATCTTGGTGCACTCGTTTCGGCCTCCATGAGCGAGAACCAATCAGATTTGGATTTTTTTTTAGGCCATTTTCAGCCCAACCAAAAGTGAGTTGTCTTAACTCTGGGTATAAAGGGACTCTAGTTTTCATGATAGCGTTGATTAACACCGTGTTTTCTGAAGCTTTTTTTTTGTCCCCCCCCCCTTTATTTTTCCTCTCGATACCATATAATAGGTACTTACACTAAATTCACACTAATGTAAATTACACCACATAATGTAACCAACACTGAGAGGCACCCGAGAAATAATCTTGTTATTCATTGAAGTTAAACTTTTGCTCCTTGTTCACTTCTTACATCCTGAAGATTGTGAATCAAGGCGGATAAGGTGGTCCCATTTCGAGTATAGGCGCCATTTTCAAGGCTGTGATGCGCAGAGGGTGCTTTAATTGTCATGCAGTCAAGATGCACCCGATGCCGTGTGACATCAAGAAGGTACGAAATGCGACCGCAATTCCTCATCCGCCTTGAAGAACTTAAAAATATTTTCAAAAGATGTTTATAAAGTTTTTTGAAAATAACACTTGTAAATAATTTCAAAATAATTTTTCAAATATTTTCCAAATACGAGGATCATCCCAAATGTAAGTTTACCCCTTTCTTATCTCGGAAATTGAAAAAGATAAATCAAAGCGGTGAAAATAAGCATCTTTCTTATATCCTCAGCTCTCTATCGACACTAAGATTTTATAAATCGGATCACTGGTGGTTGCCGAGAAACTCGATTTTGACGTGAACAACTCCCGGCGAGTTCCGTCAACTGAACGGCCGGCGTGATGATATGGAGATGCACCGCATGCTGTCGCGCGTCGCTGTTGTCTCTAATGCCTTCTTGCCAGGAATCCTAATAAGAAAAGAGCAAAATTCTAAAACATTTTCTGAGTATTTATCAGTGAAAATGCATGGGTAAGGGGAACTCGTGAACAGCTCCATCATAATTAGTGGATCCTTAAATCAGTGTTGTGTGTTTCATTACGACGTGGCCATTGAAAAAGTCGCCGATTACGATATCCGCGCTGTTATTCGTTTTTTTTGTTGCGAGTAATGAAACTTGTGTGGGTATTCATAAAAAGTTAGTTGCAGTATACGGTGGTCCGTCTATGAGTTATGTAATGGTCTGTAAATGGTGGAATCAGTTTCTGAATGGGCGCGAAAATATGCACGACGAAAAACGATCCGGTTGTCCCAGTTATGATATTTTCAAAATATTTTGTGCTATCTGGGTTCCTTTCCCTGCTTTTTTCTTCCTCCTCCTTTTTCTCTTTTCCATTTTTTCTCTAGCTTACTTTTCTCTACTTGTTCTTCTTCATATTTTCTATATTCTTTTTTTTCTTTCATTTTATACCAATTTTTAAATTATCGTAGGTTAATATCACGCTTAATCCTCAAGTATCCATACACCCAGCCCCAGATAATCATTGCCTGAGACTATCGAACTCCGATCACCTGGCTGGGAATCGAACCCGAGACCCTCTGCCAATGGTGTCAGCGCTACAACCACTGCACAACAGGGGGCCGAATTTCTCATCCTCCTCTTCTTTTTCTTCTTCTTCTTCTTCTCATTTTCCTTCTTCTTCTTCATTTTCTTCTTCTTTATCTTCTTATTATTATTCTTCTTCTCCTTCTTTCTTTCTCTATTACTCTCCCTCCACTTCAGTCAAATTCAGTAATTTTCGTTACGAAAATAATGTTCTACGAAAAATCTTTAGGAGGAAATTTTATATGTATTAGAATACTGAAACCCGCCCCCTGTCTAGTGGTCTATTGTTGATTATTGAAGCTATAGTGACAAATTTTGGTGATGCAACTGGCAACGTCACTATGAAAATCTCAAGAGTGCTCAATTAGGACCGCAAATTGTATATTATACATACAAATGATATAAATTTATAAACACGGAGTCGACAGCTCGCTTTTACCCGCGGCTCGCGGCATCATATCCATAACACTTAAATTCTTCCTCATCGCAACAATAGCACGTCAAAATCCCCCGGCGAGTGCACTCAAGCATTAGGCACCCTGGACCCACCCGCCGCCGCCGTCTCATTCACATCCCTCCTTCTCTCCCTCCCCCTCCTCCTATCTCTTGTCGAGCTTTCCGTAGAATGTTGCCGTCTCTTAGTTCCGCGCTGTTTCATCTCTGACACCCACTTACCCCCGTCTCATGACACCGTTGTCAATTGAGCAATGTTCATCGTCAATCCTAGCGAGAAGAGCAGTGAGTGTATAGATTGATGAGCAGAAAAAAGATCCGAAGATTGCTAAGAAAGTGAAAGTTCGGTAGGAAAAAAGTCCAAAATGTAAGAATGACATAATTGTATCCTAAGAGCCGATCATAAATGATGGGCTCGGAGGATAAGGCGATGAGTGCAGTTTTTGCTTTTTCGAGAGATACGTGTTTGAAGTTTCGAAATTACATGCGGAGCCGTGTGGTGGAAATAAAGCTCAAACTGATTTTTTGATGCGTAAAAAAATTGAAATTTGGGAGCGAATTTTTCCCAGAAATATGCATTAAAACTCGTTTTTTTTAACTCATCTAAATCCCAATTTTTTATTTTTTTTTTTAAAAAAAAGCTGCACTTATGTGCCTTGTCTTCCAAACCTCTTAAATTGAGTAACGCCAACCCTCAGATTTCTTGACTCCCTCGTGACGCTTTTATTATACGTGGGCCTCTGATGCCCATCCTGTTACATGCAAAAACAGTGTAAGTGTAGCACTAATTTCATCATCTTAAATCATTGTGGCTTGTTGTTTTCAACCGTAATATTAATATCAATCAGTGTTTTAACATTATTATGATTTTTTTATTCGTTATTCTTTATTATTTACATTGTAGACGGAATACATATACAATTTACTCGGCTCCAAGCAACTATTTGCTTACGGGCCGAACTGATAATGAACAAATTGTAAGATTAAAATTGATGAAAAATGCCAATTTGAACAAGACAGCGGTACTCATTTGCTTTTTTCCGAATTGATTTGTACTTACACTGCCATGGTGAAGATATGACGGTGATTTTTACAAATTTTGCTCCTCCTTAGACCTTTATAACTCACATATTTTGCCAAAAAAACATGGTGTGCAGTTTTAGCGAAAATCAATCATTTACTGGACATAAATTAGTCGACTTGAGAAAAATACTTATTTTCTAGAGATGAGGTCGTCAAAAAAAATGATAGGTATGCATAAAAGGCCCCCCCCCCAAAAAAAAAAAAAAAATAGAACACTCCTACAAGTTCTGAAAAATACGTTTTGGGCGAATATTGGGGATCTCTACCTCTGCCACTCTATGCTCCTGAGATGGGAGCCCACCGCAAAAATTATTTGCATGCATAGTGTTGCATTTTCAGTAAATGTATCCTATGGTTCTCTTTAGTTATACTATCAAAGCTGTAATCAGATTTAGAGCGGGCGTATACTACCAGCCTTCCAACCAGTTAGAGATTTTAAAAGTTGGCTGAACAGTTTCAAAGGAGCACGTTCTCTCCACCTACCCTATTATCGATGCATCAGGAACACGAAGGAGAAGCCGTAGATCTATTATTATCACCATTCATCATCATCACCATATATAATTCCGTAAGCCTTTTCTTTGCGTCAAAATTCAGCGCGAACCGCCGGGCCGATCCGTGCGCGGGTGGTACCGGCTCAACCGTCCCGGTCCCCCGATGGCGGGAAAAATATAGGGATCGGCCGGCGTGCCCGGCCCCCCTCGCCCCTTCGGGAAAAACGGCTGTCCCGTTGGTCCCGTCGGGAGATGCGCGGTTTTTCGTTTTTCCCGTGCTGTTCGTTCTCGGTCAGCTGATGACTCGGCTGCCCGAGGCGTTCGTCACCATGGATATTCGTCGTTCATGAAGAATTCCGATTTTTTGGTACAGTGCGCGTCGTCTTTTGAATTTTGTTAATATTTGTTGCCATGTTTTTCGCAACCCCTCCTTGCGGCGCATCGAGCGGCGTGGCGAAATGCGACTGGTGCGTGATTTACCGTATTCGTTTCGACGGAGCATTTACGATGTTAATGAAAGAGATTTTCCCGAAAATAACCTTGGGCTGTTAACTGTGAAGTGCCAATACTGTGATGCTTTGCATTTCAAAAGTGAGCAGGTGAACGGTCATTTCAACACATGCTGTCACAATGGTCTTCTTCGACTGGCGGAGCCTGAAATCAGCGACCAACTTCGTCACCTCTTCTCCAAACCCGTCTTCATGACCAACATTTTGAGGTACAACAGTTGTATGGCTTTTGCATCTTTCTCTGCGTCTAAAGCTCATATACCCGCGCCCGGATTAAATACCTGCTTCAAAATTCAGGGTCAAATTTACAGGTAAATTGAATTGGTGTTTAATGATGTTCATCCTTTAATTTTCTGAAAATGTCAATGAATTTTCTTCGCAACTCGATAAAATTGACCACAATTTTCCTCCTCGGCCTCCATTAAAAAAAAAAAAAAAAAAAAAAAAAAAAAATAGCGGAATTTTTGAAATACCATGACCGAGATAAGCATTTTTGCAGTGTAACCGTCTAGATGTAACATGTGTCATCATGGCATTAATTCATATTCTTTGAGCTGTTGTTTTATTGAAGATACATCGATATAAAGCACAAACTATAAAAGCTTCCAGAATTAACCCTCTGAATAGACGCACTCTTACATTATTTTAAGAGTATATTTTACTTTCCAGGAAAACAAAGCGTCTAAATAAAATCAAACGAAAGATACAGTACAAAAACATAGAGTACAAACAGTCGCAATGTAAATGGGAGAGCTGGCACTATGTTTTGGTCGACGATTCCCGAGCCCGGTGTGCGCCGAGTCACTTTTTCGATCTTAAATGGCGGTGGCTCTTTGACTAATGTAAGATTGTGTTTCCTTAAAGGGAAATTAAATTCGAAAGAATTGTATCAAGAAATTTATTTTTCTACAGATGTAATTGGTGTAATCGGGAGCGTATCCGAATCAAAAGAAGTTCCAACAAAAAAAGGAACAGAAATACTGAAGAAGGAAATCGTTCTTCACGATCACAATTTTATTATAAACAAATAAAAGTATATAACAATTTTGAGTAAATTGAAACTATTCTGAAACAAAATATCAGTAACATCAAAATGATATTTATGCATGTTATTTCAATGTAACCACAAAAAAGTGGGACAATGATGTTGATATGGTTTTTTAAATATGTTAAGTTTTTAAATGATGGTACCTACGGTATTTTTTTCAATACACATTTAATCAAATTTAAAATACCTAACTTTTACAGATTGATCTGATTCCTTGGGGAGATCAGTCGACGCTCTTGGGGAAAGAAGATGAAAATGTGGTAATTTCAATCTCAAACGCTATAAAATCGTCCTATATGGACCAAAATCAACTATCGCTGGCCTGGAACAGTCATATAGACAAAAATCCTGAATCATCTGAAGCTACCAAATTATATACTTGGTTAATAGAAAGAAAAGATCTCGATTAAATTTCATGACATGTTGTTTCTTCTTTCTAAATTTATTATAAATTTAAATTGTTATTAAATGATGATAAATTCAAAATTCCAATTTCAATTTCCAAAATTTTAGACCATGTTATATCTTCTTTCAAAATTTATTGTCAATTCAAGTTGCTATTCAATTATAATAAATTTCAAAATTCCAATTCCAATTCCAATTAACAATGGATATGTTTCATGGGTGAGGAATTTACGATTTGAGTATTAATTCTTTTGTAAAAGTTGGCGAGAAACAGGATAAAGACACTGGTTTTCCCTGAAATAAACTCCCAAGCTCAAAAAAAAGCTCTCAAAGTTGAGGCCTTAATGGAGACAATAGATTACAATAGATTAACCTCTACATCAAGACAAACCCTCTATGCAAAATAGGGAGCAAAGAAATTGACAGGGCTGCCACTTTATTTGGGGACTCAAAAACTGAAAACACGGCAACCCTGCTAATGTATTTGCTCCCTGTCTTTGCATGGAGAATTTGTCTTCATGTAGAGGTGGACTCTCAGGATAGTTTAGGATATCCCCTCCATTACAGCCTCAACTTTCAGAGGTTTTTTGAGCTTGAAAGCTGATTTCAGGGAAAATCAGTGGGACCATCGTGTTTCTCGCGCGAACTTCAACAAAAGAATCAACAGTCAAATCGCAAATTCCTAACACACGCAACATCTTCATTTCCACAATTTCAAAACCTGTTATATCTTTTTTCAAAATTTATCATCAATGCAAATTTTTATTAATCAAATCGCAAATTCCTCACACATGCAATTTCATGTTATACTTCTCCTTACCGAAAAACTCTCAGATGCCTTGCAATTTTTATACTTCTGGATGTTATTCATAAATTTTGATCAGGCAACACACTTTTTTTTTTTTTTTTTTTTTTTTTTTTTTTTTTTTTTTTTTTTTTTTTTTTNTTTTTTTTTTTTTTTTTTTTTTTTTTTTTTTTTTTTTTTTTTTGGAGGGACCATTGTGTTTCTCGCTAACTTCAACATAATAATCAATAGTTAAATCGCAAATTCCCCACACATGCAACATCTCCATTTCCACAATTTCAGAACCTGTTATATCTTCCTCCAAAATTTATCATCAATGCAAATTGTTATTAATTTATAATAAATATCAAAATTAAGTGTAATTTTTTAATAAACCATTTTGAAGAAATTTTATTTTTAAATTTTTCTTTTTATTTTAAGTTACAGAACATGTAAATGTTTGTGTTCGCAATAATTATTTTAAAACAAGAGAAGTGGTGCATATCACTGCAATGGGAGATGAATACGATTTTTTTGCTGTGCATCCATCCGCATTATTATCCATTTATCTTTTAAATAACTTGAANTAAGATATCAAAATTAAGTGTAATTTTTTAATAAACCATTTTGAAGAAATTTTATTTTTAAATTTTTCTTTTTATTTTAAGTTACAGAACATGTAAATGTTTGTGTTCGCAATAATTATTTTAAAACAAGAGAAGTGGTGCATATCACTGCAATGGGAGATGAATACGATTTTTTTGCTGTGCATCCATCCGCATTATTATCCATTTATCTTTTAAATAACTTGAACGTGGTTGTTCTATGATTCAGTGTTTCCTTTCAGTGTTTAGCGGCCGCGTAGCGGCCTCAGGCCCCTATCCTCATATATAATTTGAAAAATAGAATGAAATTGCGAATTAACCTCTGTACTAATGGCGAGGGGCGTTGGTTCATTTGAAAGGTGTTGTACTCAATGCTTCGGGAAAATTATGAAATATTTTCTGGGGTTTGTCCCCGATTTTTAAATCCCTAAAAACTCATAGGTAAATTGGATGAGAGGAAGTAGGGTTTTTTTCTTTTTTGTTTTTTGGAAAAGTTTTGTTGCTACGCATCTTATTTTACTATTTGCTGTCTTTTTATCAGCTAGCTGTTTTCATTCAACAATCATCATTAAATGACGTTACCTCCAACACTCAACTGCCATCAACTTACATTTTTCTTTTCCCGCGTTTTTTTTTTTTTTTACGCTTTGTCATATTATCCTCCCGCGTTTTTTCTCTTCCAATTTTACACCCAAATCGTCATTGGCTCCATCTTTTTCCTATTTCCAATTTTTTCTCATCAAGTCAAAAACCTCCAATTTTTCTTTCTCATAACATTCATGTACATATATTCATGAAACAGTAAGATGGAGAAACTGGAAAAAGAAAAAACTTCTGAAACAGATAATACCGAAAACGGAAAGAAGAAGGAACAGGAACAAGAAGAAGAAGAGGAAAAAGCGGAAGAATTGGATGAAGATAAAGAGGGAGCAGAAAATGAAGAAGAAAAAGAGAGAGCAGAAAATGAAGAAGAAAAGAAAAAAGGAGGAACGAAAAAGAGAAGAGTTGAAGGAAAAATTGGAAAAAAAGCAGGACAGAAATCGAAAAAGAAGAAGCAACAATTAAAAAGAAAACAGAGTAAAGTGTTTAGAAGATAAAAAAACCGATACTTAAAACTTAGTTTAAAAACAAAGGTAAAAGCTTAAAAAGAAGTTTGTATGAAGGTTTAAAAAACATATTAATTTAAAGTTTACAAAATAAACTTATAATTTTTGAAAAAAATTGTTATATTTATTACTTCAAAGAAAAAATTAGGACCAATTCAAAGACAAACCAGAAAATTAAATGAAAATAGATAAATAAAAAAAAAAGACATGTGAAAGGGAAAGGCGTACATAAAAAATAAGGGGCTGCGAAGCAGCCCCATAAGCCCCTAGTAATTGTATAAAGCAAGTTTATGCTCCATAGATTAAAATTTGTTTTGTTTGATCGCGAGATGATTTCATGTTTAGTGCGTAAGTTTTCAAATGACAAGCAGTGACCGCTTCATGGAAAACATTGTCTCTCTCAACTTATATCTAACAAAAGAAGGAGTCAGTTTAAAATAATAAAGTTCACTAAACCATTGAAAAAATGGAGGGCCCGGCTATTATTGAAAATGAAAAGCACAGTGATGGAGGCAGACAATTAGTTTCAGGTGAGAAGCATTGCCTCAGAGAGAGAGATAGAAAAAAAAAAAACTCATTTACAGTTTAATTAAAACACGAGGCCTTACGACTTGAACATTTAACTCATTAATCTGCATTTGTGACTCGACGTAGCAAAATGATCGCCCATTTAACGGAAGTGAAAAAAAAAAAAAAAAAAAAAAAAAAAAAAAAACCTATATCTTTAAATATTATTTCTAAATGTACCTACCGTGATTTTTTTAGAAAAGTTTTAGGATAAAGAGAAAGGAAGAAAAATGTGTTTATCTTTTCTCCTTCTTTTTTTGGCACAGTACTCTCTGATGTGGATTTATAAGAAACTAGTCAAGATTAGCTCGCTTCGCGAGCTGACACGTCTATCCGGGGAGTGCCCATGGGCCCCAGTTTTTTGCTCCGCGAGCCGCCACCGCCCTGCATAGTTTTTAACATTGATGAGAAGACAACATCTTTGTTTTAATCTTCTTTTCCACCAAGTTTTACAGAAATTGATGCTCCAGGTGCCGAGACCGCATTTTTGTCATTGACGTATAATACAAATGATTTTTGTGCGAGGCCGCCATCTTGGATTAAGAAATGTTGAAAATGTGACAAAAAATTCGAGTTTCCCGTCGAAATACACCTCTTGATATCGAATTTCACAAAAATCGATGGATATCAAGAAGCTATATAGCATTTTAGACCACGGCCGCCATCTTGGATTTTTGAATTTTGAAAATCGGACCAAAAATTCGAGTTTCCCGTCGAAAAGTACCATCTGATACCGTGTTTCACGAAAATCGATCGAACAGGAGCCGACTTAGCGTTTTAGGCCACGGCCGCCATCTTGGATTTCGAAATTTTGAAAATCTGACCGAAAATTCGAGTTTCCAGTCGGGGGCAGAGTGAGGCAGCTTTATACAGA